TAGTATATATTTATATAATAAAAAAATATTGTAACGATAATACTGTATGTATATATTTGTTTCTTATTTTTAGAAAGGAAGTGTTTCGTTGTGATTAAAAAGTAATTAAGTGAATAAATCAGTTACTATAGTTTCATAATACTAACTTTAAAAATGTTTAGATATTATACGTACTTTATCGTTATCAATCAATCATTTTTATTCATTATCGTGTACTGTATAAACTTATTAACGTTAAGTTAGGTCGAAAAATAGAATACGTATTTACATAATATTTGTTGATTGTATTTTCTTTATTCCAGTACTCTTTTTATCGATGTTTAACGTATTTCGACTTAATATTTTTTTCCTATATACTAATTAAGATTAATGTAAAAAAAAAAAATAATAATAATATACGTAGTTTTCTAAAAATACATACGTACAAAAGAAATATTTTTATTCTAAAAAGTAAATCAAAACGATCACTTTTTCTAAACACTGATTACCAAAATATCTGCAATTGCATAATCTGCGTAAAATTTCGGTGATGCTATATTTTTTGCCATTTTTGTGTATACGTATCCACTTACGATCATGGACAAAAATGCAAAATTTATTAATAGTAACAATAATTTAACGTATCAAGCAATCATAATCGCTATAAATAATTACAGATCGGCAGAAAAAAAATTTTTTTTCAGTGTACAGTACCATTACGTACCAGGTACGTACGTACGTACGTACGTACGCACGCAATGTTGTTAATGGACATGAATTTGAACAGTTCGTGTCCAAGGACAAACAAAAATAATGTTCAAGGTAATTCCATGTCCAAGTATACAGTATAGTATAATAATAAAGATGTTATATACTTTCAAACTTAAATAAATCTATATCGTAAATTGCAATAAGCATAAATTCTATGCAAGGGGGACATGCTGAAATGGAACTTCTAATGCTGTAATGGAGTATGTAAGAAATTTTTCATAGCAAAAATTTTTTTAGCCAACAATATATATTTCTTGCTGATCTTTCTTGGCATGCTAGTGTAATAATTTTATTGGACAATACTCGATGATCATGTGGGCATGGACATGTCCAATACTTTTGCTGCGTACATCTATCTATTAACGTTCGAATTACAGTTATTGCAAACGATTTTTTTTATTTTAACGAAGGTTTCTCACAAAAACCTAATCATATATTAATTAAATTGATATGTAGAATTGAAATAAAAAAATAAAAAAATTCATCGAATTTGGTTAGGTTGTTGCCGAGAAAACGTCGCTCAAATTTTAGAATAAATCTGTCCCGTCAACTATTTTTAAATTTTTTAAACCTTTGAGCAAAGTTTTCTCGACAACACCTAATCAAATTCGATGAATTATTGTCAAGAAAATACCCCAATCATTATATCTGATATCAAGTCACAGATAGTTTTATTACACAGTTTACAATAAATTAACTATTTTAAATTTTTTTAAACCTTTTGAGCGAAACTTTCTCGACAACCACCTAATTAATTTCAGTGAAATTTATTTTATTTTATTTTAATTACAGTATATGGATGTATAAAATTGAAATAAAATAAAAAAATTCATTGAATTTGGTCAGGTGATTGTCAAAATAACTGCTCAAAATTTTAAAAAATTTAAATTATTGATAATTTGTTCTAAATTTTGAGCGATATTTTCTTGACAACTACCTAACCAAATTCAAATAAATTTTTTTATTTCAATTCTACGTATCCGTAGAATCAAAATGAAAAAGTTTCACAAAAATTTGATTAGGTGGTTGTCGAGAAAGCTTCGCTCAAAGTTTTAAATCCTGCTTATTTATAAACGAGACAGATTTGTTCTAAACTTTGCGCGATGTTTTTTCGACAACCATCTAATCAAATTCGTTGAATTTTTTTTTATTTAATTCTATACATCCGTTGAATTAAAAATAAAAAAAAATTTTCGCCAAAATTGATAGTATAGAGAAAACCGCCAAAATTAAAGAATGTTTTACATGTATATCAACTTATGATCAACTTTGATTGGTCAAACATTACAGATTTACGTAAGTCGTTGAGTAGTAATTTGTTAGACCCATGCAGGCTTAATAAAAACGGTAATAATCCGGAAGCTTTTGAGGAATTCTCCGACCTTTCCTTAAATTAACCAATGAAATCACTGCGTTTTTGAGGAGTTTCGTATATAAAACACAAAGCCGATACGTATGTTGGTTTTTTTTCAGTGGTAATGTTAACTCGTCTCGCATTTTTACTAATTATATAAATAAAATTTTACTATTAGAACTTTTGAATTTCGCCAAAATGCTGCGTGGTTTAAAAAGGTCATTTATGTCCGACGAACAAGGCGAGAATATTGAATATTTTGGAGGATACGGAGGTGAAGAATTCATTGTCAGAAAAAATAATGAAGAAATGACTGTATTATCAATGGAAAAAAATTTGAAGAAAATGAAGAAAATGAGGTTGAATTTGGACCAAGATGCTTCAAGGTTAGTAAACCTTGTTGTATCTTGTTTATGTCGAATATAGGTGAATGTAATGTTTTTAAAAATTGCAAAGTAATATTTATTCCTATAGGGTACTTTTGATTATATTATCGTTAGAATAATGATATATTTTATTTCTAATACATTTACTTATTACATTTACATATTTAAAAAGAAACTTTACCCTTATAATTCATTTTAAATTTTCTTAGAGACTCCATGTATCAAAACTCAAGTTCTGAACCTTCACCAGTAACCCCTTCATCTTATTCCTCTTATATTGACATTACGGACAATTTTTTCGCAATAAATCATCAAAAACAGCAACAACAAAAATCACAACAAAATTCGACACAATTGCCTGCAAATAAACAATATCCACTTCGCATTTCAACTCGATCTGATACATCATCATCATCTGATACAGAACCACCTAATCCTTATGCAAATATCAATTTAGTATTATACCTTGCAAATTTAACACGAAATTCACACATTTTAAATGAAAAATAAAGGGTTGCCCAACAGGGCGCGAAGCAATTAAATCTAGCATTGCACATTGATGTGAAATAGGATTGGCTAAAAATGCTTGATTTATTTTTATAATAATAAAACGAGATATAACCGTATCGCCTTAGTTAAATTATTTTAAAAATTAAATGCATCGTGAATTGTAAATCGTACATATAAAATTACGTATCGTGAAACAAAAAAAAAAAATCTCAAATCGCCCTGTAAAAAGTAATCATCAATCGAATTGTAATCTAATGTCGTATCGTTCTAAATTTATAAGTCGCATTATAAGCTACCAATATCTCATACTGAAATGCAACTGCGACAAGCCGACGAACATATACCTTTCACTCTACCAACGGCAAAATACAGGTTTTGGCCATCAATTTCGGACACTCCTATCAAGAATGCACCTACTCTTAAATACTTGTTAATTGATTTTTATTATTTGGAGTGGGTACGTTCTTGATAAGGGTGTCCAAAATTGGTAGCCAAACCTGCATCAAACAAAAGCTTCTCTACATGAGCTCATTCGACCCTAAAATAACGACATTAGCGATTTAGTTAACAGATATCGTAAGTTTCATAAATAACAAAAAAATTTATTAAATCATTAATCGAAACTTATCAACGCATACTTTAGTTACGTTTGATGATTACGAAGAGTTAGATGCGCCCACAACACAAATGGAGAACATAGAACATAATGAAAATAGAGAAATTATATGTAATGCTAGTGATTGACTCGTTAACTCATAGTTAAAATAACTTGAATTTATCCGGCAGCTATTATGATCGGGCATACAACATAATTTGACAGTTGTTTTTAATACAAAAACTCGAGTTATTCGGCAGTCTACGACTGCCAAAAAAAACGAGTTATTAATTTTTATATTAAATAAAGTCATTTTGTATGCCCTATCGTCATAGGATACCGGATAATACCGTTATTGAATGCCAACGAAGCACCAATAACTTTCGTATCTGGCAGTAAAATTTAATATACCATTTCTGGGTCCCTTCGGGACCCAGAGCTGGTATATTAAAAATACAGCCAGATACTCGAATTATTTTTCTGGGAAATGATTATCATGTGATCCTACAGATCACATGAAATCATTTATCCAGAAAAATAATTCTCGTTATTGGATGCTTCGCATCCAATAACTCTATATTATATTCACAGGTTAATTAAAAATAAGATATTTATCGTTATGAATTACGATATATAGTATGTGATTTTGCTAAGAAAATGAACTTCCGGGACCATATGGGTTTGATAAAGTTTAATTAGCAGATTCTGATTTTCAATATCTTCGACTTAAATATTATTATTGCGCTTTGCTAAAAGATGTGGCCGTGCAAATCATAATGTCATGTGCGGGAGATTCCATCGATTTTAAGAATTTATCGATTTCAAAGAAATATAAACGTAACCGTTCGAAAATATAAATAACAGACAATTAAAATCTCAGAGATTTTCTCCGAACATTATCTCAGAAATCATATGGCCACACCTTTTTGCAAACTGTAATAATAGAAATAATTCATCAGAAATTATGTATTTTTGTTAATATAACTAATGAATTTTGCTAGTATATATCATACCATCTACCATATTATCAAGTATTTTTCAATCTCTATTGCTTTATCTGATTTTAAATTTTAGGGTCATTTTTCCATTTTAAAATAATTTCAAAATTTAGATTGATGGTGGTCGTCGTTATCCCTCAAAAGCTCAGCACAACATGTTGCTATACTTTTTAGAATAGATTAGTTTCTTTATAATCTTATTAAGGTCCTGAAATTTAAAGACAATTATAAAATTTAAAGCACTCGGATAATGCGTATGGGCGAAAATTTTTGATGGGAATACTGTGATCATTAAAATTAAGTGATACAATAGAATTACATATAAAATAAGTTATGAATTTGCTATATTTAAACAACGAAAATACATCATTATATCAAAATATTAATAAGCAAGGATGCAATGGACCAATCAAATAATATATGATTTAATTTTACCATGGATCGGTGTTTTCCGAGACTTCCTTCGTTGAACTGATGAAGGCTGCACTTTAATCTTTGAACCATTTCGAATTGATTCATTTTTTTGGCATAGAGTTTTGTTGAAAGAGATAAGTAGCCGGTTTACCCACTGATATAGATTCAGACTTTCGTATCCTTTTATGAAATGTCCAATTCCACTAAGAAGCTGTTGATTATTGATTATTTATAATATCATTTAAAATGCAATTAAAAAAGTTTTAAACAAATATTATATGATTATTTATATTATCTTCATAGTTCCTAATAAAAATAGCAATAATACTGTAAATTAATGTTTAATTTTATAAATTATTTTTTATTTTTTTTTTATGAACCTGTTTTGAGAGCCTTCAACAATCACTTCAGTATTCAACTTATCTTCATTAAGCAGATTCATATTTATTATGACCAAATGCCAATACAATTAGTACATACAAGGATGCATAAAATGTTAGATCTTTTGCAGTAGTTCTTTTTAATTATTTTAAATTCATATACAGTATATTAATATGTATATATATAGTCAGATCTTGTTATAGTCACTCTTGATATAGTCACAATTTTGATATACTGTAATCACATTATTTTTTAACCTGAGCTATTATAAAACATATAAAATTTGATTTTTATATAGTTATAATTTTTATAATCACTGGATTCTTGTTTTTCAAACTAGTAATTATATCAAAATTTGACTATATACAACATACAGTAATTGATATTTAATAAAGTTTACTCATGCAACATATCTACAAATTATATAATTTTCAAGAGTAAAAGCTACAATATAATTAAAGGATCCTAAATAATATTTAAAAGCAACTACTGCTTGATATTTATAAGGTGATTTACCAAGTACTATATAGAATATGTATATGTTCCAATAAATAAATTAATAATATAATATTTATTATTAATTTGTACTAGAAATAAAATAAATATTATACAAAAAATAAAAAAAATAAAAACTCTTTCTTGTAAATCTGCAAATCGCTAGTAGAATAAAAAAGTAAACAAATAAGCAAAGAAAGTTTAAAAAAAACTAAGTATTAGATACTATAACTACTATATAGAGCCAAGTTATAAACACTAGAGACAACCTAGTAAACAAGTTAGAGGACTCAGAGGAAACCAACAAGACCCATAATACACCTTCTTCAAAACAAAAAAGAATCTATAAACAATAAAATAGAAATCAAAAGCTAAATTACCTATTAACATTTTAGAATAACAACACTTCAACACTAACAAACTCCTAGTGCATAAGCAAGCGCATAACTTGTAATTATAAAGTAATTATATGTATAGAGATACAGGGTTGCATAATGCATTATGTGACATAATGTTGCATTATGTAATGTAGAGGCAAAAAAACCTGTATTCGTACATCTCTAATAGTACCCTATAACAATATAACTAGGAGTGAAACTCATAAATCAAAATTATTATATATAACCTTTTTTATTTAGCTCTAAATATTATTTATTAGTCTAAATATTTGGTATAAGCTCTTATTTCTCAATTAACTTCATATTCACATTCGATTAGTTTGCATTATAATAATCATTTGTCTTAGCTATTTTTATTTACATTGATTCATTCTGACAGTATAACAATTATTTACCCAAACAATTTGATTTGAGTGTAATTTATATCAGATATGTAAACACAATAATTATTTATAAGCCTTATATTTGACATCACAAACATGCAAATTTGCAAATTCCATTAAGTTCGTATAAAATCTCTTTTTTGTTATAGCGTCTCATATCAATATACTGTAGTTATTCTGCATTTAATCGTATACCTGATATCTATTTAAGTATCTAAATTCGATAAAGATAGAACTATTCTGTATCTGTGTTATCCACATTTTTAAATTAGAAATTCATCTGTTCTTTGTTTAACGCGAATCGTCATGTAGCTATTTATTAATTAAAGTATTGAAAATTTAGATGTATTAAAAGAGTAGGTACGTACAAAAGCATCATACTAGTAATGAGTGGCCAATAGAAACAATGGAGCCAAATTATCGTTAATATGTAGTTATACTGTATATAGCAATTCACGAGTCATTACTACGTATAAGTTCCAACAACCAAATACTTTGGTGAAAACAGACAATAGGTGCAAAATATGAACCTTTAAGTCCCGATATTCGTAACTTGAGATATAATTATACATTACAAAGCTTAACACACATATCCGTAACACACTGGTGCGTTATAACATTTGAATTTTATTGAAATATTTGGTATATGATAAAAATTATAATCGTACCAATTTCCAAATGAAAGAATTAATTTAAAGATTGATTAAAAAGGATGTTTCTTTTTTTTAAAAAAAAAACAAGAATAACAAAAAATAAAAGGTAAAAAATAATATTCTATTATTTTAATACAGATATTGCTTAAAATTAAATTTATGTCTCACGCTTCTGACTTTTTATTGCGGTAAATTGCAGATTCTGATAGTTAGATTCTAGTGTAAAAGTGCCAGGATTACGGTAGGTCCAATATAGATTGGGTCAACCGCAGATCTATAGTTGGTTATAACATAATATATATATATATATCTATTAATATTACCTATTTTAATATTTTGACATCAATACCAATTACAATTAACATTATCATTTGTAATATATAAATTAATAGGTTTACTAATATAAACTGGATTGTTATCAAGATTGACGTCGAGTGGATTATTTTCTATCACTATTTCTTTATCTGTGTCTATAAATTCGGATAAAATTTTATGATCGTTTCTCCAATTTATAATGGTTTCATAAATTTCTAAAGCTGTTGGACGTTTGACTGGATCCTTATCCCAACACTTCCTTAAAAGTTCAGTATAATATATGGTTGTATCTTTAAGAATCTCTGGTCTTAGTCCTTCACAAATTTTCATAATTAAGTTTAGGTCTTCACCTTTATAATCAGAAAATATAATCCTTCCTGATAAAATTTCCCACATAATTATCCCAAATGAGTAAACATCTGATGCTTTGGTAAATGATTGCCCTTGCAAAATTTCAGGAGCAATATACGGTAAAGCACCATAAATTACTCTAGATTTTGCATCTAGTGATTTATTTATTGCTGCAGCTAATCCTAAATCACCAATATATGCATTATGTAAATTATCCTGGAATATGTTTCCACTATGTAAATCTCGATGAATAATGTTTTGTGTATGTATTAACTGAAGATCAAATGCAATATAAGATAACAATTCTAATTTTTTCTTCCATCCCATTTGTGCAATATCATAAAGATTATTACGTAAAGATCCCATTCTTGCAAATTGCATAACCAAAATATAGTCGCCTGTACCTTCGTCTCTTGATATTCCATGGTATTGTAAAAGAGTTGGATTATTTTTTCCAACACTAGAATACGCTTTTAACTTTAAAATTGTCGATTTTTTTAGTTTAATATTAATTATTAATTGAATATTAAAATTTAAATTTAATAAACATTAAACAATTTAATATATTTACCTCATCAATAAGTTCTTTGCAGCTATTTTTTTGATGAAATATTTTAAGCGCAACGTGTTCACGTAAAAAACTATTATTATCTGCAAGTAAATGCCTCCACAAAGCAGAATAAACAGTTGCAAACGCTCCCATTCCCATTTTTTCTATAAACTCTAATTCATTAAATGGAATCCATACTATTGATATTTTA